CAAAAATGCACTTTACAGGAGAAGAAAAAAACATTCTTAACTTTAAATGCAAATTAATGAAATAAGACTATTGTAAGTATTGTAAGACTATTGGAACGTTTCTTTTGGCCCATTTGTCATGAAATTTGGACAAAGTATATAGGAATGACAGTGTTTTTCAAATTATGTAAAAACGAGGACACAAAAGGTTTTTCTTTTTATTATTTATTGATCTGTTATTTTTTATAGTTTATTATGGAAAATGAGTAGCCTATCAGTAGCCTACAAAATTGTTAGGGTGAGCATGCTCCCTTCGAAGTGCACTAAGTAGGCTGCACTCATGCTGGTTCTGTAACAGCAGAGGGCGCTCTTGCTTTAATTAATGCAAGGTGAAAAGGTTGCACTTAGAAACAGCAGCCAATATTACACAGAAATAGTCCTACATCATTGTTCATAGGCACTTCGTACTGGCTCTTTTGGCAGTAACCTGATATACCTTCACATTACAGCATGTTATTATCCACATCATAAATGATCACACCCAGTGACTTCTCTTAGACTTGTTGGTTTAATAAGTTTCATAATTAAACTTAAGTCTTTTCCTAAATGTTCTTTAAAAAGTAGCTGTTTTCAAAATGAGCATTCTTCTTCTTCTAAAATAACGAAATATATAAATAAATGCACCAAACGGTTTCTTTAAGGTCAGTTTATATAGTGCAGCGTAGATGTACAGAGGCCTAGGCAGAAGTGCCATTTGTGCGTACTTCTCATTTTTCATTTTTTGCATAAATTCACTTCTAAAAATAAACCAACAGAAACCTAAACCTATATTTTTGTCGTGTCAGAGATCCCAAAGGAGAAAAACCTACACAAAATTATTGCTGATAAGGTCTGCAATGAAAGACAGAGGAAGCATTTTCTTTTTCCATCATAAAACTGTTTAATGTACTTCATATTTACATATCAAATCTACAAAATATGCACATGTTAAAATATATTCAGTGAGCATCCTTTCAGTCAGCGCTGTAACAGCCCTTAGTGCATAGCCTTGGATCGTCACTGGGTACAGTAGCCAGGTTAACACAGCGCTGCACGCTAACGCAGTAGGTTGGCATTTTAAAAGTAGCTTAAACACTTAAGGTTAAAATATTCCACGTCTCTTTTGAGCACAGACAGCAATGTAACATGAGGTCGAAAAAGCACTCGATACTTGAGCGTTTAATGGTTGAGGTTATCTGGGGTTTCGCAGTCTTTGTTCACTGTTAGCTTGTAGCTAGCAGAAAAACTGTGGTCATATGCTATAGTTTGATGAGGCTGTATGTGTCAGGCCTTTCTCTGTAATCCGTTTTTGGTAACGTTTCCTTTTACAGTTGCTTGAGTTCTAAGTATTAACCAGATAAGTGGCACTAGGTAATTATTTGGGGTAACATGATATTACGTTTCAAGGCAGTTCAGCTAAATTACACCAAAATACTCAACTTAACTCCCTACTGTACATACATCGTTCAATGTACAACAGAATTGAGGCTCATCAAAAAATCAGAGTTTCCCACTAGTACTATACAACATCGTGGTGCCGTTCATGCGCACTCATCTCATAATGTTTACTTGAAAGCAGCATAAGAAATGACAGAAAGCTGACCGTAAGGTACAATGGCTAAAAGTCACACTATCCTGAACATCTGGAGGATGGAGCTGTTTTTTATTTCATTCCCGAAGCTGGAAAAGTTTTGGCTTCAATTATCTGGTTTACAGTATGGACTAAAATCATTCTAAAATATGAAAAATGATAAGATCAGTTAGCTAGCTAGTTAGCTTTTCTTAGCTTAGCTGCTGACAGTTCTGTCAGATTAAACCAGACTGCACAACATTCATGTTAGTGATTAATGCAATTTGTGTACAGACTAATATTAAAACCATTCTTTGTATTGTTTCCTTGAAGTTGTCTGAAAGATCTTGATGTTTCTTCCTCAGCGTCTAACACTGCTCTGACTAGCTCCAGGGTTAGCTTTAGCATTAGCTCATCTGAAGTGGCAGCTTGCTTTGCTAAAACCTCCTCTTTTGTTTGCCTTAAACTGGCCTACATTCACATATTGTCAGTTCTTAAACATGTGTGTTAGCACTGAACATCTTGTAAAGTTAATTTACTACTGAATATATAAGTTTCAGATGTTCTCCGCTAGCAAAAGTGTTAGGATGCTACCAGGCAGCCTGAGCTGGAATTTTGACGGATGTAGTAACAGTACGGTAGGCAGGACTTTCTTTGGATTTTGCAGTCAATTGTAATTTAGTTAGTCAGTCTTGGTACGTGCCATCACTTCACTCAAAATAATTACACTGCACTTGAGAGCTTGCACCACACCTAGTTATTACCTAGAACCTGTTGGGCACTTCATTGTAATTTAGTTAAACTGTCTTGGAACTTACAATTATATTGCTCCAAATAATTATCAAGTACTTTGGAGTTTGTGCCTCATCGTTACCAGGTTAATACTTGCAACTTAGCGGACTGTAAAAGACAGCGTTACCATGTTTTTGTTTCTCTGCTGTGCTAAAATGGTTGTGCATAGACCTAAAAGGAGCTGATCTTAAATCAGTCACTAAAAGGCATGGAGACTCAACAACCGGTCCGACTTTACACTAGCACCATCTATATAGAACACAGACACACGTATACATACACATACACACACTTCATTAGCAAGGGACTTCACACATCACTGATTATTCGAGTTACCTCTGACACAGTCACGGTCTGCCTGACGACTACAGCTATAAACAGATATATATCACATGCCATTTTACATTTATACTGGCTTTTGCTGTATGTATCTGCTGAGCAGTGTGGTATAATTGTGCATGAAAGCCAGTGGGTTACATTCACTGTTGTTAAAGGGGCATTCCGGCCTAAAACTAAAAATTTAATATGATGTTTGTTGTGCTAAGTAGCATTTCCCTGATAGCAAGAGGATAGTGAACCACTGTCGGCCCACTGATGGCAAATCTGGTGGTCCAATGGCATTTTGCTCAGTGTTTTCTGGGTGGTCCACTGGTGGTTAAGCAGAGTATTAGACAAAATTCCACTAATCATTGCTCATTTTCCACTCTCAGTCCAATTTACTGATTTTTCTTTCCTTCCTTTCTTTAGTTATACTTTGTAAATTAGTTTAGTAAATCATTTTAATCTACCACAGTGTCAGCAATAACATTTTCTATAAAATCATTTTGTATCAGGGCTAGTCATGATTTTTTTTCTCTCTCATTTGTTTGTAATACTTGAAAAGTTTATTTTCCAAAATAAAAGTCTGTGTACATTTAAAATCTGTTTGGGGAGATTAAAAACTAGTTAAAACTTGTATGCATGACAGTAATCTGGGTGGTCCGAGGGTGGACCAGCAGTGGCAAACAGTCAGTGGGGTGCCGACCTTATCATGCCAGCGGACCGATTTATGCTCACTATCAGGGTCTTGCATCCCTCAGCCTTGTTGGTGGAACAGAAATCATGTTTTTGTGTCCTTTTTTGCATTTTTGTCCATCAATATTCTTTCCTTCATGCACTGAGCAAATATGTTATACCGATGTAAATTAATATACGTGATGTTTGGCTTCCTGGCAGTCATGTTAGCTATATGGCTTCTGCATTAGCTAGCTAGCAGGGGTAAAAATGTCAAACAGCCTGCAAATATCTGCCCCAAAATCGCTTGATGTATTTCAAAAATGCTCCCACCTTCAAAATGCATCAGAAGTGTGTTTTACTAGTTTTTAAACTGGAAAATTTTGCGCTAGTTACATTTTTCATTTTGGCCGGAGTGCCCCTTTAAGTGGCATCAGTATAGCTGATTGCTGGACCAGATCTCTTTTTCAATCAAAGATGCAACTTAAATTCTCACATCTTGGTTAGAACAAGGCTTCGACTCTTTCCTAATACTGGAAAAAGTTCGGAATAGCTGGGTTTTTTCTTTGTGCGATTATTATTTGTTGAACTTGGCATTTTTTTTTCTTTTTGGCAATGTTAAAATAAGAAAAAAACACTGGAGGTACAGTAGCACTCTCTCTCTCCTCTCATTTTACATCACTTATAAAAATATAACGTTCACTATAAAGTCAAGCTCAGGAAACCCCCACAGACTTGCTAAACAATTTGCTAACCTGCAGACTTGCTAACACACGCATTTAAATATCTGTAGCTGGATCCTCAGGGAGTCAAGGAACACTGTATGTGCTAAAGTGTGCTTCCTCTCTGATTACTGAGTGTTAGAGAAGGCTTAATAACTTAACATTCTGCTCTCAGTATTGAAAGTTGGAATTTAAAGAGGAAACTTTAGTCCAAGATCAGTTTGAGGATGCATGTAGCTGGATACCTCACAGACGGCTAAAGGCTGAAGGCTAGCTAACTTGGTTGGATGTAAAATAACTAATGTGCTTCTCACTGTTCTAAAAGAGTAGTTTCATTTCCGTTTGGATGGGATTAGTTTTACATGTGGAGGTGAGGTAATTTTACCACAGGATGCCTGTCATGTTTATGATTCTCACTGGATTAGAAACAGAAATTGCAGAGATTGGAGCAGCTACTCGATTTACACACTGCAATCACTTCAAAAAAGTTCGATACCCATATGATCGGCTGCTCATTACTAGAAAACAGATCCAAACATTTAATTTAACCATAATTTTGTTTATGCTAACTATCCACCTTGCTGCCTTTAGTGAATGCGCTAGCATTTTTATTAGATAATGTGCATAAAATTAAATATTTTCTGACATTGTATAAGTTTTAATGTTTGGAGTCGTGCATTTAAGGTTCGACAATACATATGAACTTGATTTGAGCCACACATAATATAAGTAAATGCTTCTTTGACATCTTAAATACTTTGAATTAAATATGATGAAATATTTACCACACAGGATTAATATAACCTGTGGTTATTATTACTGCTGTTTTTATAGCACCAGATTATTATAACCTGTGGTTATTTCTATGGTTTGTTTTACAGCATGGGATTAAATAGCCTGTTTTTTTTCTACAGTTTTTATAGCACAGGATTAATATAACCTGCAGTCATTTATGCGGCTTGTTTCATCGCATGAAATTATTATAACCTGTGCTTATTTCTATGGTTCATTTAACAGCACGGGATTAATATAGCCTGGATTTTGTTCTACAGTTCATTTTATAGCATGAGATTAATATACCCTGCAGTTATTTATGCAGCCCATTTTATAGCATGGTATTCCTATAACCTTAGGTGACTTATACAGCTTGTTTTATAGCACAGGATTGATAAAACCTGGGTTATTTCAACAATTTGTTTTAGAGCACATGATTAATGCAATCTGTGATTATTTCTATGGTTCATTTTAAAGTATGGCATATAAACTGGCCACACATAAACTGGGTTTATTTCTATAGTTTGTTTTAAAGTAGGTAAAAGCTGTGACAATCTGATGTGGGAGCATGTAATTTGTAAAAATTACTGACATGGCAGATTTGAACGGGACTACAATCACTGAGAAACACTGGTGATGATTGCATTACCCCACCCCACCCCATGAAAACTAATTCCATCTCAATAGTCTTTTGATATCAAGCTAACTAGTGGAGGTGACTATCTTCTGTTAAGTCATGTTAGCATGTTAGCGAGGTTTTTCTATTAGTACACTTTTTTTGCTGTTTTTGTGGGTTAATTTGTCCACTTTCACATTCAGTTTTGCTACATCTCTTGTTTTTTTCTTCTTCTTCTTCAGCACGTGACAATGATGCACTTTAGGCACTAACACAGACATTGCCACAGATCGGAGGAGTGAGGTACTTGGCATTTGGTTCTCAAGCCACCACCAACCAAAACAACTGGCCAGGTAGCGACACGCACACGCACACATCCAACACGCACGCCCTGTAGATCCCTCGTGCTCGTTCTTTTTCATGGTGCTGGAGGTAGCTTGACGTCCAGCAGGCTGTAGGCGAAGATGTTCCAGAAGATCCCGCAGAAGACGAAGAGTGCGTAGACGCAGAAGAAGATCCAGAAGAGAGACTGCTCCTGCAGCCGCTGCTCATAGTTCTGCAGCACCACCACCCCCAGCGTTAGTCCCACCACCACCCCACCCAGGTGGGCCACGAAGCTGGGGTTGGGGCAAGGGGGGAAGGCTGGGGGGTAAAACCTCAGCCACACGGCCCGACCAAACTCCACACTCACTGAGCACCAGGGAGAAAGAGGAGGTTAATTAAAGGAAGAAATAGACAAAAATCTCATGAGTATGTGAAAGTATTTGATGAGTATGAGAAAGCATTTGGTGAGTATGTGAAAGTATCTCGAGTGTGTGAAAGTATTTTGTGCGTATGAAAGTATCTTGTGAGTATGTGAAAGTATCTTGTGAGTATGTGAAATAATCTTATGAGTAGTTGTGAGTACACAAAAGAATCTTGTCAGTGCATAAAATTTTCTTGAGAGCACAAGAAATTATGATTTCAAGAAAGTATCTTGTGAGTAGATGTAAGTATCTTATGAGTATGTGAATGTATCTCATGAGTGCATTAAAAATATTTGGTGAGTATGTGAAAGTATTTTGTGAGTATGTGAAAGTATCTTGTGAGTATGTGAAATAATCTTATGAGTAGTTGTGAGTACATGAAAGAATCTTGTCAGTGCATAAAAGTATCTTGTGAATATAGAAAAGAAATTTAAGAGTACTTTTAGATAGCAAAAGTTACTTGACAGCACAAGAAAGTATCTCATGAATATAAGAAAGTGTCTCATGAGTACATGAAAGTATCTCCTGAACACTTGTGAGTACGCAAAAGTATCTCATCGTTCTGCAAAAGTATGTTGTGAGTATGTGAAAGTATCTCATGAGTGTGTGAAAGTATTTGGTGAGAATGTGAGAGTATCTCATGAGCATGTGACAGTATCTTGTGAGCACGTGAAAGTATCTCATGAGTATGTGAAAGTATCTCTTGAGTGGATGAAAGTATTTGGTGAATATGAAAGTATCTCATGAGTGTGTGAAAGTATTCAGTGAGTATGTGAAGGTATGCTGTGAGTATGTGAAAGTATCTCTTGACTGTGTGAAAGTATTTGGTCAGTATGAAAGTATCTCGTCTGTGTCTTGTGAGTATGTGAAAGTATCTTGTGAGTATCTGAAAGTATCTCATGAGTGTGTGAAAGTATCTTGTGAGTATGTGAAAAAATCTTGTGAACACTTGTGAGTGCACATCTTGTGAGCATGAGAAAGTACCTCATGACTCTGCAAGAGAATGTTGTAAGTATGTGAAAATATCTTGTGAGCACTCATGAGGACATGAAAGTATTTTTGCATGAAAGTGACTACGTAAAAGTATCTCATTAGTACTTGTGAGTATCCAAAAGTATTTTGTGTTTACACAAAAGGAAACGAAAGAATCTTGTGAGCTTCAATTTTTTGCATAGGTTCCCTTAGGGGCTCAGCAAGAAGCGGTAGCTGAATTGTGGTTGCACTTAAACTGTGTGCTCTAAAATAAAAACAACTGCAGTTAGACAGATATACAGACTTACTGCAGACCAGAGCCATGGCCATCCGAAAGAGCTTAAACTGACATTTCATCCCCGACCAGTTCTGTATGAAAAGATACAGAGGAAGATATATATAGAGAGAGAAAGAGAAAGACAGAAATTAGGAAACTGTCATGTTAGCACACGTTGTAGTATTATGGCAGTATTACTTGTACTACAATCTGTCAGAATGACTGTGTGGATCATATGAACAGTATAAAGCATCATAGAACATTTTTTAAATAAAACAATAGAAGCCATATTGGCCCCTTCACTTCCTATAGTGTATTACAGTCTGTCAGAATGACTGTGTGGATCATATGAACGTTATAGAGCGCTTTTTAAATGAAACAATAGAAGCCATATCGCCCCCTACACTTCCTGTAGTGTATTACAATCTGTCAGAATGACTGTGTGGATCATATGAACATTATAGAGCGCTTTTGTTTTTAGATAAATGGCTTGTTTTTCCATAATCAAAGTCGTCGACAGCTAATCGCCTCTGCAGCCCTTCTGTTCTGTGCTGACGGTGTAGCAGGTTTGGAGTGCTGGTGATACAGTGTGAAACCTGAACCCTGATCACACAGTGCTGCTGACATGCACACTCAGAGTCTCGGCGTGGGAATCGCTGAGCAAGGAGGGCAGAGAGAGCAGCACTTTCTGAACGAGCATGTTAATATTTGATGATGTGAGGGAGCGATTATACGGTCAGTCCAGTACAGGGGGGCCACTCAAGGTCAGAGCCCAGGGGCATCGTGGGAAAGTGGGGAAGACCTCTGAGGAAGAGTGTGAGTGAAATAAAGATGGTTTTGTATTACAAACAATGCCGAGGCTGCCACTGAGCAACAGCTGTTTCACTGTCTGTCATGTATGATACGGGCGGGTTTTGTGAAAGAGTCAGAATTCATTTTACATGACCATTTTCCAATCTCTTTTTATCCCTCTAAGATCCATATATGTAAATGAGCTCTGCTCTGTTTAGCTGCCCTGTATTGTGCCAAGTTCAAAAAGCAGTCTGGGCTGAAACGTGGAACAAATCAATGTTCTGACTGAAATCCTCAGAAACGTGGGGCAAATCAACTTTTTTCAGATGTGTGGATTCTTTGGAAGCTGGAATGATTTATTTCCCGACAACCAGGAACAGCACAATGTTTAATCATCTTCTCACGTCTTTTACTCTAATATTTATAATAGTTAATACAGACTATCTGCAGGAACAACACTCTGCATCACTTCTACAGGAATGGGTGAAGCTAAATTGCTAAAGCCTGAATGGGTTGGGCCAAATGGCTGTAGACTGAATGGGTGGGCTACACTGCTGTAGGCTGAATAGGTGGGGCTACACTGCTCTGGGCTGAATGGGTGGGGCTACACTGCTCTGGGCTGAATGGGTGGGCTACACTGCTGTAGGCTAAATGGGCAGGGCTACACTGCTCTGGGCTGAATGGTTGGGCTACACTGCTGTAAGCTGATTGGGTGGGCTACACTGCTGTAGGCTGAATGGGTGGGGCTACACTGCTGTAGGCTGAATAGGTGGGGCCAAATAGCTGTAGCCTGACTGGCTGGGGCCAAATGGCTAAGGCTGACTGGGCAGGGCTACACTGCTGTAGGCTGTAAATATGTTCATGGTTGTGACATCACAACCACAAAAAATCCAGAATGAGATGTTTTTCCACTTTAGTTTCTATATATGGAATGTATGGATTGGGGAGTAAACTGAACATTTAAACATTTTTAACATTTTTTTAGTACACTCTTTAAGATGCCATGCAAGAACCACTTTGGGACCATCTAAAGAACCATGCTTAAATAAAGAGATTTCTGAGTGTAAAAAACCTTTTAAAGGTTCAAATCATGTAAAGATTCTAACCCAAACTAAGGGCTCCTCCAAGAACCTTGATATTATGTGGAGGTTGTTTAAAAATGTTCTTTACAGTTTTATCTCGTTTACAAAAACAGTTCACCAAAAGAACATCTATTAAAAGGTTCTTTGGGTAATCAAATAAACAAATAAACCCCTTTTTAGCAGCTTTATTTTTAAGAGTGTATATGAACCTCATTTAAAACAAACAACAAAAATGTGGTTTTCCTTGTTATGGGCCCTTTAAAAACTGAAGAAAGCTACAAAAGAGACAGATGCTGGCAGGTATGAGCACACACACACACACACACCATGTGATTGGAGAGGCTCACACAGTGGAATGTGTGGAATGTGAGAGACTCTCTTGGATCTGAACTTCACACTTTAAATCACAAAACCTCGACAGCGGTTCACAGTCACGCTCCAGCAAAACAGCAAAACAGCAGAGCATCTCCAAAACTGAACTGTCACAAAGAGACTCTCCGTATGTCCTAATTCCAGCCCTCAGCGCTATATTCTTATGCTATATTCACTGCAATTCAACAGAACTTTAATTATCCCCAAAGGGGAATTGATGGCAGGCGGACACATTTAGTGGGGTCCAAAAGTCTGAGATCACTAGTGGAAATGCTTCTATATTGCATTCCTTTCAAATTTAATACAGTTTTTCACCACAAATGATATTATCAGCATAAAAATTTGAGTGAAAAGTACAATCTTTGAATGTTTATATGAATTTTAGAATTTGGTGGTTTGTCCCCCTTTTGCTTTAATGACACTCTATGTGCACTCCAGCTGCATGGACTCCATGTGTTTGTGCAAAAGACTCCAATCAGCAAACCAAATCCACCTGAGAGTCATCTGAACATGTGCTTCACTGGAAGAGATGAGACTAACAACAAACCATTCTGTACAAATATCAGATTTTTAATGTGGTCTCAGACTTTTGGACTCTGGACATAAAATAATGAAGACAATAAAACCACACAAAAAACAGACCACCCAGAACATTGCCATTGCCATACAAACATATGGTACACAATACAGAGTCCACTGCTGCTAATCTGATGGTGCTGTCAGTGCGCCAGTTTTGTTTAAAAGAGCAGTTGCAGCTGGGATAAAGGAAGACCTCCTGTGAGCTGCTCTACAGTGACAGCAGTGAAGATGCTGACCCGAGGGACGCTAATCGAAGGCTCCATGCAGGATAGGTTATGCTTACATGTACTTCATTGAGCCTATGAGGAAAACCTGTCATTTTGCTGCATAACTATGCCCAGTCTGGACAGTGGCACAGTGCAGCCAGAGGAGCAGCAGTTCCTGGGGCATTGGGGCGGGAGGGCAGGGGGGCTGGGGCACAACTACGGCCACACCAACCTAGTCAGGCCTGGGACTAGGACACTTTCAAAGTCTGCTGCCCAAGGCACTGAGCACACATTAGACCTGCGCGCATTAGTGGGTACGTTACCATGACGACGTTGGCCAGGTGGGCGGAGACCAGGGCGTAGACTCCTCCAGACGAGCCGACCACAGGTGCAGTCATGTCAGCCACCGACACGGCCAGCGAACCTGGAGAAAGATCAGCACACAGCACTCGGTGTTAGCATGAAGGCTAATGCTAACATGCACTACTCATGAAAGTTGGCTTCTTCTGAAGTTTTCAGAGTAATGTTCACCACTGTTACTTTTCCATTACGTAAGAAAAAACCCTGTAAAAATGTAGTTTTTCATGAAGCAGCTCTGCGTATTTATCTTCATGATTTTCACTCATCAATGTCTTTTTTTGTATGAAGAGCAGGTTTTTAAATAATAATTTGACAGTTATCTTTTCCAAACTATTATTAAAAGCACATATTGAAACTCAACAGTGATTTAAACACCTGAAACACCAGAAATGTTTGAGTGCTGACATCATAACAGGGGGCAAAATGGGTTTGGCCTTTGGCTGTATTTATTCTCTAAATGAACCTGATTAGGTTTTAATATGGTCAGTTATTGCGAACTGACAAAGAAAACATGATCATTTGGATAAAAAACCTATTGAGAAGTGTCCTGTTATTTCACCGTATGTAAGAAACAACACCACCGTCATAATGACATAAGCACTGATGATTGTGATAAAACATCCTACAAACCATCTGCCTGCTGTGAGCAACGCCGCATGTGTTTGTGTGTACAAACTGTGTCATTAATGACAGGGAAACATGAATATTCTGACATTTTGGCAACACTGACTGTACAGCATACTGTTATCTACCACAATATCCAGCGAAGGGTCATGCCTCTGTGGTCAGAAACTGACCAATGATAAAGGGATAGAGTAGGGGTCTCAAACTCATATGAAAAAATGCAGGGGAGAAAGTGAGTATTTTTTCAAGAACAAGTTTAAACCCCAATACAGAACTCTGACAGTATTGGTCAAACACAGGTTCTTGACCCCCACTCCCCAGTACTGAACTCTGACATTCTCAGGGACTGTTATGCACCCATCGCTTTCTGTTATGCACTCATCACTTTAACAGCTCCATAAGCTCATTCTAATTGCACTACTGTTTATATTTGCACTATTTATACCCACAGACCATAATCTGTAGGTGCCTTATGTCACTTTAGTGTTAATTTCAGGTCCTTCTATATTTATATATTTTTTATTATTCTATTTTTCTACAATTAGTGTTTATTTTTATGATTAGTGTTTAGTGTTTTTTTAATCTATTATCTAGTCTATTTAAATACACACTTTTCCTGTTTACTTTCTATTTAATGTTATTGCTACACCATGGGGTCTGAGAGTAAAGCAATTTCAATATTCTGTATGTCCTGTACATATTGTAGTATTGACAATAAAGCTGACTTGAGTTGATTATTATTGGTGGTAGTAGTAGTAGTAATAGTAGTAGTAGTGGTTATAGCAGAAGTATGAAGTATTTAGTAAATATTTTGGTTTTCAATTACAACCCCATTTCCCAAAAAGTTGAGACGCTGTGCAAATGATGTACAAAATGCAATGATGTACAAATGATTTAAACCCTACATTTCATTGGAAAAGTACAAAGACAACATATCAAATGTTGAAACTGAGGAAATTTATTGTTTTTTGAAAAATATATGACCATTTTGGTTTTGATGCCAACAACACGTTCCAAAAAAGTTGTGACAGGGACAACAAAAGGCTGGTAAAGTTGTGCAATGCTTAAAAAAACACCTGGTGGTTAATTGGCAACAGGTCAGTAACATGATTGGATATAAAAAAGCTTCCCAGAGAGGCTGAGCCTTTCAGAAGTAAAGATAAAGAGGGGTTGACTCCTCTGTGAAAGACTGTGAGAACAAACAGTGCAACAATTAAAGAATAATGTTTCTCAACCTAAAATAGCAAAAAACCTTTGCTTTCTATCATCTACGATACATAATAACATTAAAAGATAGAGAATCTGGAGAAATCTCTGTATGCAAGGGACAAGGCCCCAAACCAGTATTTGTTAGCCATGATCTTTGGGCCCTCAGACAGCACTGCATTAAAAACAGACAGGATTCTTTAGTGAAAATCACTGCATATACTCTGCTGATTAAAACTCTAAAATGCAAAGAAGAAAGCAGATATAAACAGGATCCAGAAATGCTGCCACCTTCTCTGGGCCCAAGCTCATTTAAAATGGACTGAAGGGAAGCGGAAAAGTGTCCTGTGGCTCGACGAATAAACATTAGAAATTGGAATTTTTTGTGGAAATCATGGACACTGTGTCCTCCGGGCTAAAGACCACTCAGTTTGTTATCAGCACACAGATCAAAAGCCAGTATTCATGATGGTATAGGGGTGCATTAGTGCGCATGGCATGAGTGACGTGCTCATCTAGGAAGGCACCATTAATGCTGAATGATATATACATGTTTTGGCAACATTTAGACAACGTCTTTTTCAGGGTAGGCCTTGCTTATTTCAGCAAGACAATGCCAAACCACATTCTACATGTATTACAACATTGCTCTGTATTAAAGGTGTCCGGGTGCTAAATTAACCTGCCTGCAGTCCAGACCTATCACCACTAAAAACATTTGGCGCATTATGAAATGAAAAATATGACAAAGGAGACCCTGAACTGTTGACTAAAATATGAAATCATTTGTCTTTTTAAACTACATCAATTGGTCTCCTCAATTTCCAAATGCTTACAGGGTTTGTTAAAAGAAGAGGTCATGCAGCACAGTGGTATACATGCCCTTGTCCCAACTTTCTTGGAACTTGTTGTTGGCATCAAATTCAAAATGGGAATATATTTTTCAAAAAACAATAACATTTCTCAGTTTCACCATTTGATTTGTTGTATTTATAGTATTTCCTTTAAATTATGATTTACATGATTTGCATATCATTGCATCCTATTTTTATTTACATTCTGCACAGCGCCCAACTTTTTTTGAAATGGGGTTGTACATCAAGTTATATTTAACAGAACTGGGACAAAGTGTGATACTGTTGGTGTTTCTGCTAAATGTGAGGTAGGGTGGTGTATAACTTGTGGTTAGTAGTGGGCAGTATGGGCAACAATTAATGTCACTTTATAATTAAGCTTCCTGGCAGTTTTAGTACATTCAAGCCAGCTAGTCTCCATGCTAGGTTAATGGCTAACAGTGAACCCCAAGAGACTGGCTTTTCCTTCCGCTCTGTTTCCCCCATTAACTCATTAACTCATTACAGTCTGATGTCGTTCATTTGACAATGAACTGGACTACCTGACCTCAGACTGCAGCTCACAAGAGGTGAATTAGCATGTTCCGCACTGTTTGTACATCACATTATCTGCATTTATTTGCATATGGGTACCACAATAACAACTAATACCTTAAGAGGAATTTCAGCCAGTATATCAGTTGAACCGGTATGTCACCCACTACTACTATCAGTCTAAATTTGGATAATAGCTAAGTTACAGTAAAATTACAGGTATGTCATGCTCAGTGTGCAGCATTCATGCAGTTAGCACCAGGCTAATTGTATATGCTGATAAGCTTCCATGCTATATAAACATTGTCAAAGTTACAAGGCATACAGTTCACAGTCCATAGAGAAACTAAGCCAGTTTTGATTTGTGATTTGTTTCTGTGATGTCAGGAAAACCAACAGATTTACATTTATTCCCCTATGCAGCCTACAGCAGTTTAGCCCTGCCCACTCAAGCTGAACTTATAAGCAGTGTCTCAGCCCAGACTGCTTTTTGAATGAGGTACATAAAAGCATAGTGAGGAAAATAAAATGTAAGACAATGTAGAATGTGAGCCCTTTAACAGGCGTGTGTGAATGGATGGTGTTTGGAGTGTTTCAGGATGAAGATGAAAGCTCACGCACTGTCTGTAATTACGGTCACAGTCACTAGAAACGCATGATTAGAAGGTGTAATCTCGCAGACAGACAGACGTACACACAGCTGTTTGGCTCCGCACACAGACACGCCTAAATCTCACACTGACTCTGCTACTGATCATAATAAACATTAGTTTTATAGTAAATAACCAACAATACACACAGCTGCTTAATATCGTTCTTTACATCACTGAAAAAAGTGCTGAGTTTATTTGATTCAAATACATGTACATGAATGATATACATTACTGAGCAAAACTCATCATTTAATTTCCAGTCAAAAGTACAAGTTATTCATTTTTGAGAAGATATTTCAGAGGAGGTTAAATATAAGATACTCTACTTGTATAAGGAGAATGTCAATGGAAAATAAGTGAAAAACAGGAGTTTCCAAAACTGAAATTTAAAAAATATTTTAAATATATATATTTTGACAACTGAGAAGACAACTCAGCGCTATGAGTCTGAAAGGATGTGTAGCTGTTCAAGAAGCCTAACTGAGAAAAGGAGATGGATACATCAAACAAAGAAGCTAAACAATGGACTGACCACCTCAGAGTCCAAACCTCAACATCTCTGAATGTGTTTGATTACTTCAGAAAATGATCAACTTCTAAGACTGAACTTTGGAGGTGTGTCTGCCGATTTCTTTGAGAAACTGAAAGTGAGTCTCCGGAAAAGAATGGAAGCTGTAATAAAGGTAAAGAGTGACACACTGAACACTCAAACAGCTGATAGTATATTTAGTTGTTGAGGCTTTTGTGTCATTTTCTGTTAAATGTATGTTTTCTGCTTTTTTGTTGTTGCTGAAAAATGAACTTATTGGCTCTTTTGACTGGAAGTTAATCAATTAAGCGGGGGGTGGGGTGGGTGGGGATTGGTTGCGGGGTTGGGGTGTGTTTGATTCTGCACAGTGTTTTATCAACACACAGCCAAAAATAAAAAACCGAAAAACAGAAATGTGTTGATGTGATATATTTTATTCATGTGGAAATTATGTACATATTTAAATCAAGTAAATTAAATGCAGCACTTTTCCTAGTGTGAGTAATTCTGTATTAAACTGCTTTTCAAAAGTTTGCATCCAGTGTTTTTATATTTATACATATATATACATTTTGTGGTAGATAAATGCCTAAAATGAAGCTGTAAAAAATACATAAATAAATAAAGACACAAAATTGTAGAAAATGATAGAGCAAGCCCATAGCATCAACAAATAAACAATTACAGTATATTATTTATACTTTAATAAATTCTTGTTATTTCCAAAACTTGAAAATACCAAATACAACATCTAAAAACACCAAATATCTTTTGTTGTGTAGTTTAGAATATCTAAATTTACGGGGTGTAAGTTATTTTTGTATATAAATTCACAAAAATATGAATATGGCAACTGATTCCAGGCTGTAGTGTATAAACAGAACTCCGCATGCTTTGCTGTGTGTGTGTGTGTGTGTGTGTGTGTGTGTGTCTGTGTGGGTAAGGGGTGTGTGTGTGTGGGGAGTTTGGGGGTGGTTGGGTAAAGGTGTGTGTAACAGAGAATGTGTTAACGCGTTAAACAGATTCTCTTCACATCAGTGTAAAGGTGTTCAGGCTGCTTCAATTTTCCAGAAATAATTCTCTCATTTAAAGGGGAATATCACCAATTTCTTAAATTTCTGCATAATTAAATGGTTAAGATGTAAACAGAGTCATTCAGAGTGGTCTGGTGTGAAACATTCCATTCTAGAGAAACTTACCGACTCAGAATTGTTCACAGTGGTGGTGATAGGAACCAGACATCTACCTCCCTCACAGAAAGTTATTACATAAATAGTTATAAATACACTGCCTGATGCCTGAGACACTGTTTTACAATAGTTTTGAGAAGATTTTGGGTCTAAAAAGCATTTTTAAAATCCATTCATGGTGGAGGGATACATGCAGGGCGCTGTGAGGCAAAATCGTCCCCAGAGAAAACTCAGATTTTCCACTATTGTCCAATCATCAATATTCCATATAAAACGCAGAAGACACGTGTAGGTTCACTGGTGGTTTTGGATAGTAAATAAAATGCTTATATTTGTGTTGTAGTCATGGCGACCCCTGGTTCCTATCACCACCACTGTAAATTTTTATATCTGTATCTCCCTGTGTATCTCCTCTCTCCCCCTTTGTATCTCTCTGTCTGTCCCTCTTTCCTCTTTTTCTCTTCTTTAAGGCAAAAACTGGATCTGTGCCACTTTATCCTGGTAATATGAACACAACCTGAGATGCATTTATGTGGTCAGGCGTAAATGGAATGTGGATGTAAATGAAATGTGGATAAATCTTGTCTGGTCATGATTTTCAAATGAGATCTGGATAATGCAGTTGGACTCACCCGCCAGGACTCCGCACAGGTAGATAAGGCCGATCCGGGCGGCTCCGTGAACCATCTCAAGCGGCACTCCCACCAGCAGCTGCATGGCCATGTTCAGACCCAGGTGTTCAATCCTGCCACACACAGCCAGCATGTGGCGCTCAGTATTAATTACGGTTAACAAACAACAGCTACACAAAGACTACATCAACTGCACTCCTAAAAAGATGGGTCTTCAAGGGTTTTAGTAAAGAAAATGGTTCTATATAGAACCATGAACACTCAAAGAACACCCTGCATGATTAAAGTGTTCTTTGCATCATGAAAGGGTCCTTCAGATCGATGGAGAATGTGCTGTAGATGGTTCTATATAGCATATTCTTGAAGAGAGTTCTACTATGGTTACGATGTCAAGCTTGTAACAAGAGCAGAACCCTATTTCGTGCTATGCAAAACCATTTTCGAAAAACAACACATTCTCCATCAATATGAAGAACCATTGAAGCATAAAATAGAAAATAAATAGAACCATAGAACCTAAATAGAACCATTACCTTTACCAAAGAACCCCTAAGGAACCATCTTTTTTAAGCGTGTATAATCCATTGAGGTCCACATTATCTGCATGTGTTCAACCTACGCCACCTGATTTCACTATACATTCTTCCTTCTTTGTAAAGAAAAAGAGCTGAACAGTAAAAACAGGTGATTATAACTCTAGCCTTCATTAGCCTTGTCCTGTGATATGTAATCAAATGGGGAAATGGTGATGTGAAGAGGCATCAGTCAGCCTCTCATCCATTAACACATCAGAGCACCCGGACAGTTCATCCATCCTGAATAAAGCTGTGATTAAAACCTACTCTGCCTGCTGCTAGCAGACTTTACCCATAAACATTTCCACAGCTTATATTTCAGGCTTAGTCCTGATGGGGAAACAGAGTGGCTAATCCTTAATAATGAACGCACAGCAGCAGAAATCTCACCAACGCACACATCCCTCCATCTCCAAACCCTGACAGAGAATTATAGGGGATTCAAAAACATTTAGAAAAATCATTTACTGTATTAACTGTTCTTTTACCAACCATCGAAAAACACACCAGCCGTATAATAATAATGATTGTTATTGGTTTTATTTTTACAAGCTAACTCAAAAGTGTTTGGTTTCGAACATGAAAACATAAAATAAATTTTAAGGTATTTATTATTTGTAACTGAGAGACTGGGTGGAAGTGCAGGATACTTTAACAAGAAGGCCAAGTCAAAAACACAGTCTGAGAACCAATACCAAACAGGCTCCAACAACCAAATGGTTCCAACAACTGGATGTGGCAATGTAGCAAAAATATAATATTGCGATATTTAAAGACATTTTTACAATACACGTTATGTTACAATATTTATGTTTTTAGACATCAGTTGGAATGCAAAAAAAGAACCAGTCGTGCAACATTAAAAAAAAATGCTATCAAAAACTGTAAATACAATTATTTTGTTTTTTATTATTTGTCACTTACTCCATTTTTTTTTCTTTATAATAAAACATAGATGGTCAGTGTTTTACAAATACTGACGATATGCATGGTATGTTCAGAAAAGCACATTGTATTGTATTGTAACATAATTTAGCATGATAATGATCTATATTGTCATATTGCCCAGCCCTAACCACAACAGCATTGTACTATTCTGCTGTTCAGACTTGTGAGATCAATAATGGTTTCTTTTTCCATTTGATGTGCTGCCAAATCAGGGCCAGAAAATAACTGAAGAAAAACTACGCAAGACAGTGGCTCAGCAACAGCTAACAGGCTAACAGCTGCACAAACCACAGAACACTTCAACCCCCGTTACATGTGAATGGATTAATATGGAGCATTACAGCAAAAATCATAGTTTGTAAAAGCTTAATTTTGCACTCATTTCCTAAATACAGAACAGCAAAAAACAATTTAACACTGCTGTTATATTTTGAGCGCTTTTGAACTCTCATGTCAGTGAGCAATCAACACTCAGTAGCAATAATGTTAACCAATCAGCATTCAGTACCAGTAATGCTAACCGATCAACACTCAGTAGCAGTAATGTTAACCAATCAGCACTCAGTAGCAGTAATGTTAGTGTCCTACTGCCCAAAACCCGTTTGCTCTGGTTTAGACCTGCAGCCCACTAGCTAAGCTAAGCTAGTGCTGCTATCTAGGAGAGAGGAACTGGCTAACATTAGCTCAGCTAGCAAGCTACAGATCCAACCCAGATAGCAGACAATTCTGGGCGAATTCTGGCTAACATACACAAGTGTTGACTTCTGGGCAGATAGGCATCTGGGCCAGAATTGGCTTAGTACTCATATCTGCTTTTAAGGGCCAATTCTGGCATGAATGTTGTGGCCCAACAGTGTGGATGAAGGAAGAGGGTCACAACACAAGTTGTGGCAGATCTGTGTTTGGTCAATAAATGCCTCAGTACTTTTGGCCCAAGTTTGGCATGTCCTAAGTGGCCCAAATCCCACTGAACACCCATATATATATATATATATATATATATATAAAAAACATTTAAATTTTACATGTCAGTAAACTCATATGGTTACACTGTCCTACATGTATTCAGTAAAGTAAAATGTATGGCCTAAAATGGCTAAAACTAAAATTAGGCAGAATTTCACAGCATGAGTTCCTGCTGTGCTAGCGTTACTAGAAAATAATAATAATAATAAAAGAACACTAATATTTCTATATGTTGACAGTATTTCTGATCTGATCTTGCAGCTGCCATCAAATGGCTAGAAACAACCTGTTTATCTCCAGCTGTAGTGAATTCTGGTTTCTGGTTGAGGGGTAATTACTCTGACCTTGTCCTCTTTAGTATTGGAGAGTTGGTTTGGTTTGTGATTTGGCCCCTCAGGGCTCCGGTACACTGTGTTAGCTGTCAGACTGTGAGTGCTGCAGTGATGCCTGGCTGGAGATGTGCTAATTCTGGATTTTTATTGACCCTCGGGCACCCAGATCTGTCAGCGCGGGTGTTCTGACTCACGCTGCAGCTCCAGGGGGACGTTTTAGAGCCAAGCAGGTGATTTTAAACAGGAAACAGGCAGGTGAAGGGCACAGATATGGAGCGGTATAGAGACTTGAAGGAGAAAAAGAAGTGGAGCATAGCTGGAGTTCTTAATAACTCATCTGTGTCTAGCAAGTACACTGTACAAATGATTTGGTGCCTGGCTGCTTTTATTTAATTTAAAAGTAATAGTGAGTTGACAGAATATAAGACAGATTATTATTATTCTGATTAATGACTATTAGGCGAGAGTGGGGCACAACTTAATGCTGAGTAGAATATAACGAACTTTTCTTTGGTCATCCTCTGGCTGGAGTAACATCATCTGCAAATGTTGACACCAATCAGAAGGATATTTTTGCAGATTTACCTTTAATCACTCCTGTATTGTTTTAATCTCTGTCTTGATGACTGTAATATGGCACTATTTAAAGCATTTAAATATATAAGACCCCCAAAGTAACCAATGAGTGAACTCCATCCTCCCATTTAATTCCACAACAGTTCATTTTTTCAGCCTTTTTTCACAGAACATATTACAGATATCATATGAATAAAATTAATTTTTATAAAATACAATAATTTAAATCATTTACATTTCATCATTTCATCACATTCTTCTATTATGAAAATAAGACTGTCAGTGTTTAACAGTGTCTTTTCACCAATCATTTATCTGGATGCAAATATTTTTTATGTATTTAGTTTGGAAAGGTTGTCTGGTTCAAACAACAGTTATATGTGTGCATGTGTGTGTGTCTGTCTGACAAGTGTCTGAATACTTGTCTCCCCTCACTAGATCACAACTTTTGCCTGGTGTTGCTATGGAGATGGCAGTAATGAGGTCTCCATCACAGCGTTGATGAGGCCAAGTTACTGACCTTTGTCTGGTGAGTAAGGGTGTGTGTACGGGTGCTGCTTGCCCAGGTTCTGCATGTTTTAACGCTGGCATCCTGTTTGTGTATGAATGAAGCAGGCTCAGTGGGTTTTAGAGGAGATTACACACTGGGGAACATTAATACAGGAACACGCTAAAGTCCACCAGATCACAGCAGTCTGGTCACCCACGGTCATCTTTCCTGCAGTCAACACAGCTGCCGCTCAAAGAAACCTACAAAAACCTGCTACGCTTAAAGAAACAACTCTCCTAAAAATGCTTACATGGCTAACAATCTGCATAGGGCTAACTACAGCCCTTGTTAGCTGTAGACATTTCATATAAATTTACTGGACTCGCTAACAGAGATTAGCATGGTAACATGAACATTCTGCATAAGGCTAACCAGACCCTGTTAGTCATTACCAGTTACCCTTTGGGAATAATTAAAGTTTTCCTGAATTAAATTGATTTGAATTGAAGTTAGCTTAGCAGTGCTGGGAAGAACATTCACCTTAAAACTGTTTACTACACAAAAGTGGGTTTATAAAAGCCAAATTCCACTCCAATGTGGTGCTGTGGATCTGCTGTGAACAAGACTAAGGGGTTGCAAATACTGAGCGGCCGCAGCAGATTGAGTCAGATAAAGCTAATCCTGACTACATCCCTGCAGAGCTAGCATTCTGTGCCAAAACCACAAATTCCCAAATAATCTGAACACACAATCACACGGGTACACCATCTGACCAGAGCGAGACAAAAATCATGAGACAGTACTAATAAATCCAGTCAAAGCTTACATTTCACTACTGAAAGGTCTTTGTAACATGGCTCTTGGGTTAGCAACAGCAACATCTCATTCAAGTAGGAGGAAACGTCAAGAAGAACAGGCTAGTTTTGCTAGTGTTCAAACATCACCTCCGCAGCTAATTAATGAGCTAATCAGCTAATGCTGAACCCAGCACCATTGCCGCCCCAGGACTAGCTCTGAGCTTGCTAACAGAGCACTTAGGTAAGCATAAACATCGCTAGGTTTTCAGTGAGCATGAATTGTTTGACAGCCACAAAAATATTGCTTCTCCACATGCAGTAATTCCCAGATGGTACTTTAAAGGAGAACTCTGACCAAGAAAATGCTGGCAAAAGCTATTGGAGTAAAGTAGCATTATGCAAATGACTAACTGCTTGCATGCCTTTGTGGTTTCCATTCACTGTTAGCCATGTTAGCATTTTTTGACAAAACTTCTCCTTTAAAGTTCTACCGTGATTCCAGTCCCTCACAGCTGAATTAGTGCACAGATTTGCTTTGATTTAGTAACTGATTCAACAAAGTTTCATGACTAGCTGATGAGATGGATTAGGTGTATAGGATTATCTGTGTCTTTATAGGCAAGTCTGTCCATTTGGCCTAAAATCGATCACGTGGCTAACAATGAATGGCAGTGATAAAGATCAGGCACCTATGTTTTTGAATGGTGAAGTTTGAAAGCCTGGAAGCTAGGCTAACATTTCAAAAACATGTTTGAAATCTGGTGAAATCTGACCAAAATTACACAAACATTGCTCAAAATGTACTTTTTTGTCTTTTTGGCTGCTATACATGTACATATCCCCACAAAAAACAAGGCTTTCTGTTGGTTCTGCCTTTATCAATAAGGCGACTGACACTTTTTATTGAAAGGCCAAACTTTTAACTTTACAACCACCATGTTTACAGAGGCGGTCTTCAAAGTTAGGCAGCAGCCTAAAGGGTCCCATAAGCCAAGGGCCCATGAAAATACAAAGATTACCATGTGCAGTCTAGGCTAGCAGTGACTGCTAAAGGCTAGTGCTAGCACTCACCCAGCATGCATGAAGATGTAGCTGAGGTAGCGCCAGGCCTGAGCTCTACGCTGAGGGTGATACGGCAGAGGGCTCTTCAGGAAGGACGGAGAGGAAACTTGCAGCACCCAGCGGTCCAGCTGCAGCCCATAATACACAAACACCACCATCTGAGGGAGCAAACACAGCAGCAGAACTTAGCTGGAGCTATTTTAGCCAAAACAGAAATTAGTTTCATGGCATAGTCCATCTTCAGAAATCTAATCAGAACCACAGGTCATTTAGCTTGTGTTTGAAGTATGTATGGTTCACCCTTAAAAAAGATGTTTTTTTTTAAGGGTTCTTTAGCAAAGGCAATGGTTCTATTTAGAATTTTCACACCTAAATGGGTCTTTGCATGGTGAAATTGTTCTTCAGACTGATGGAGAATGTATTATATATGGTTCTATGTAGAACCTTTAGGAAAATGGCTTTGCTATTTTAACAAAGTCAAGCTAATAATAGGAGAACCCTTTTTGGTGCTATATAGAATCATATACAACACATTCTCCATCAATCTGAAGAACCATTTCACCATGCAAAGAACCATTTAAGCGTGAAAGTTCTAAATAGAAACACTCCTTGACTAAAGAATCCTTAAAGAACCGTCTTTTTAAAGTGTGTACAGACGTAACAGTATAACACACTGTATTGTATGAAATTGTATCACAGAGTATTGTATTGTTGTATTGTGATTAGCATGTTAGCTTGTGGCTAGAGTGTCGGATTGGGACACCATAAAGCACAACTTATGTTTCAATTATTGAACTTTTTTCTAATGATGACTGCTCCAATAAACTGAAAAGGGAAATATTAATATACGGCACATTTTTATCCACTCCTTATTTTGCTGTATCATGACAAATGTATCCTTTAAATAATGAATTTTGTGCATCGTTACACCGCCTACTGCACTGAAACTCTGAAAAACAATATATTGTGATTGTAATAATGTCTTTAAGTACTGTGATACTTTATTTATGCCCTATCACTGACCCTTATTGTGTCCAGAGACTGTATTATACAACCACTGCTATTCAATAGCAACTGGATTTCCGTTTAGAGTTCCTCTAATCTTATAAAAAAGACATTGTGTATAGTTTATCATTCAGAATCAGTGCTCACTTTCCTCATGCTCTAGTCTCACCTCTGCAATGGTGATGGCCAGGATTAGCCACGGCGGGGGGCAGTAGGTGTAGCTGTCGAAGTACCACTTGCGGTCAACCTCTCTAGGCAGCGTCTCGTAGGCCACGTGTCGGACAAGTCTCTGGGACAGGCCCAGTCCGACCTCCTCCCTCAGACTGGAGCTCTTCAGCTGCCGGCTGCCCTGCAGGATCGCTCGCCGGAAACTGTTGGAGCGCTTGTTACTCATCTGAGGAAACAGTAACATTTGCGCAAATAAACACAGAGGTTTCGTACACTCTTAAAAAAGATGGTTCCTCAAGGGTTCTTTAGTAAAGAAAATGGTTCTGTGTAGAACCATGAACACTCAAAGAACCCCTAGCATGAGGATTCCTTGCATTATTAAGGGGTTCTTCAGATTGATAGAGAATCTTTTGTATATATTTGAAAAGGGTTCTATATAGCATCAAAAAGGGTAGTACGATGTCAAGCTTGTAACAACAGAAGAACCCTTTTTGGTGCTATATATAACCCTTTTTAAAAAGGCTCTATATAAAACCATCCAAAGCACATTCTCCATTAATCTGAAGAACCCTTTCACAATGCAAACAACCTTTTAAAAATGCAAAAGCGTTCATGATTTTACATACAGCCATTTTCTTTACTAAAGAACCCTTGAAGAACCATCTTTTTAAAATGTGTACTAATTTGTGATTAGAGCAACAATTTTATCACCTAAAAATTCTTTTTGATCAGAAAATGAAGACATGACGCTGTTGCTGGAAGCTTTATCTGAAAATGTCTACAATCAACTGCCTATCAGGACCACTGGGATGTTCTGAGACATTTATATAAGAGCTACTCAAGAGCCCATTTCCATTTTCCCATTTTATTTTTTCCTCTCATAATGTTTCTGTGTGTTCATGTACCAAAAAATGGTCATACTTCATTTTACATGATCATTTTACAACCTAATGTATGTAATATAACCTGTAATGAGCTTTGTTCTGATTGGCTGTCCTGTATTGTGCTTCACTCAGAAAGCAGTCTGTGCTGACACACCGCTCATAACTTCAGTGTAGATTGGCGGAGCTGAACTGCTGTAGGCTAAATTGACAGATATAATGGGTCATTCTCTAATTGGAGTGGGAATACAGGTGGATACATTTTTAAAAAATCAATTTCTTTCATCCCAAAACTAAATAATCCTAGTATGTCCATTAACATCTCCTATTATCATATATGCAAAAAGGACAGCTTAATTCCAAACATATTTTACAGTCACTGGTGTTGTGTTGTAACTCCAGTGACTGTGACACCACTGACATTCTGGTTAAAACTGAGGATTTTGTAAATCGACTGGTGGTCAGGTGACCTTGTGCAACTATTTAAAATCAGTAATAAAACTGATTTATGGCATTATTTTGACAAAATTTTAATTACTCAGCCATTAAAGCACATAACACCAGTGATACCATAGAAGTTATGTGCTGCCTGTTAAACAAAATTATTAATAAATCAATGAAATATAGTGAGCAAGTATGACTCGCCTTCTCATGTCCTGAGATGCTTCCTCTCTGATGAGCCTTTACCCAAAGAAGCAGTTTAATAGAGCTGAAAATACTGTGGTAAAATGTAATATAAGAGTCCTGATAACACCAGTGACCAAAATCTCTGTGACAAATGAATTTTGTTTGATATGATATAAAAAGTAAACATGAATCTGTTTCATACAAATACAAGTTAAACCTGTTAAAAATATTGTTTTACATTAAAAATCGTTTCTCAAATGAAAATTGGTTTTGTGACGAGCTGTTTTACATATGCAGAGCAATTATGAAACAGGATAAAAGAAGAAAAATCAGAGAAATCATAAGGTAAATGTATTATTTAGTCATGTACATACTGACTTTTGGAGCTGTGCCTAATATTTTATGCATATTTTTAAGCCCTGCAACTTTTGTGATATGGTTTCCCACTCAAAAAGGAGAATGACCCATATATATTTATATAAATGCTCTAGTTTTCATGACATTACAAAAAACAATGAATTCAAAATAGGCTGATTCTGCAGATTGGTTTCCATACATAGACTGTGTAGACTGTCCAATACAGGATGTTTTGAAGTGTCTCTATATAGCATCAAACTCTTATTTCAAAAAAGTGAGGAAAACGTGGTTTTCCATAATATGGGCCCTTTAAAATTGTTTGGTATTCCTGGGAACTTTTATGGGAACTCTGTCTGAACCCTAAACATTCTTGGCAGATTCTCTCGCATCTGCTCTCGTTCACTCTCTCGTTCTTCTTCTCTTTGTTTTCTAACAGCCGTGATTGCGAAGCAGTGATTCTCCTTTTCGCCATGGCGATGCCACGGAGATGCTTCTGCCGTCACTTAGCAACCGCTTACGGATTCCACACACATCTCAAATGCTGAGAGCAGCTGTGTGACAAAGTGTACGCGTCAGAGGGAGATAGAGGGAGCGAGAGAGGGAGAGAAAGTGAGTATGTGTGTGGAGGGTCATGTATTTATCCCTTTGTGGGGACTAATACCCCCAGGACAATGAAAACTTAAACATGTAGTGTTTGTGGGAGCGTTAAGAAAAATGCTTTTTCCTCCCCAAAAAAAGGAACAAAGCTGATCTTTTGGTTGCTGAGTTTAAGGCTAGGCCAAATGTGTCAGACTCCAGTTGTGGCGTTCTGCCTCATTCAGCTCATCTGTTAATGAGCAAGGCCTTTGTGAGCTGAATTAGAAGAGGGAAAACACTCATTTCTGCAGAGCTGTGGCCAGAAAGGAATGCAGTTTGACACTCCTGGATAGATTGAAGCCAAACAGGACTCTAATAGCATGTTATCACTAAGCCAAGAGTGATGCGCATGAACATTTTTGGGCCATCCTAGATCAAACACGTACACTGACCCATTACACCAGTCCAACCCACTGTAATTCAAAACATTATTGGTTATTTCCTTATTATGTTGGTAGTTAATCTAATGTGTAAGGCCTTCAGTCCATTCCCGAAGTCCTGACCAATGGGAGAGCTCACTTGGCTGTATCTACGTAGATACCACAGAGAAAACAATCCTGACTGGAAAATTTTCTGCTGTCCACTTCAATATTATAGGGCCTTCTCTGAAGAGCAAGAAGATCCTGAGGATTCCCCACTGAATAAATGCCCTCGGACAGTGGGAAATGACCTTTGAGACCCTGCTGTTTGCCTTCGTCTCAGCATAAATCCAGAAAGCAGCTGTATCTGATATAGAAGCTGTTTCTTTTGACACTTAAGTGCTTATTGAGTTTTTACAAGTAGATATAGATGTATACAATAAAAGAATGTCACAATCAGAACAACTCCAAAAAGAACCGGGAAAAAGGGGTTGTCTGTGGTTACTAAACTCTTATCAAACGAGTGTATCCTTTTATCCTTAAGTATTTCTACAGTGTCCATATACATGTGGCCAATTTTCGCCACCTGTTAACAAATACGGTTTCTCTCACTCGAAGCTGGTAAGTCATTTTTTCTAGTGTATAAATTTGTCTTACGATTTCCACCCACTGTTCTACAAAGGGAGGTCCAATCTTGAACCAATTTCATGTTATTGCTTTTTCCTGAAGCTGTTTCATGTTTATACAGACCAGCATTTACCAGTACTTGTATACACTACCTTGCTGCCCAGGGGCAGCAATGCCTTAGTGAACACAGACTTGCAGGTGTTTTTGGAGTCCAGATGGAGCTGAAAGCTGGACATGCTCTAAAAACCCCACAGCTGCACTACGAGTTTTCCTCAACTATAATGCTACACAGTATTTAAAGGGTAATTCTGGGAATTTAAAAAAAAAATCTCCAAAATTGGGTGTGTGAGATGTAAACAGAGTCATTTAGAGTGGTTTGGTGTGAAATGATTCAGATTTCTTTACAGTGATGGAGATAGGAACCAGGGGTCACCATGACAACAACACAAATATAGATATTTTATTTACTATCCAAAACCACCAGTGAACCTAAACGTGTCTTCTGAGCTTTATGTGGAATGATGATGATGGGAAAATAGTGATAGATCTGATGTTTTCTTTGGGGATGATTTTGCCTTACAATGACCTTCACCAAGAATGGATTTTAAAAACATGTTTTAGACCCCAAATTCTCTCAAAATGATCATAAAACAGTGTCTCAGACATCATGAAGTGTATTCATAACCATTTCATGTAATAACTCTCTGTGAGGGAGATTTTAGAGGTGGACGTCTGGTTCTTGTCACCACCACTGTGAAAACTTTTGTCTCAGTAAGTTTCTGTAGAACAGAGCATTTCACACCAAACCCTGAATGACTCTGTTTATGTTTTAACCATTTAATTATGTAGGAATTTTGAAAAATAACTGGAGTTCCCCTTTGTACTAGCTGAGAAACCGTTTTGCAGATGTGTTGTAAAATAAATATAAATATGGAAAGTACGTCACAGAAAATATTAGTCAAACATTCTAACTGCCTCTCTTTTCCCTCTCTCACACTCCTCCCTCTATCACTTTCTCTCACTTCTTCTCCCTCAGTTTGACTCCCTCTCCCTCTGTCACACCCTTTGCCTCACTCTGTCTCTTTCTTATTCTGTCGCTCTCTCTCTTTCTCCATTGCTTTCACTCCTTCTTTCTCTCTCTCTCACTCTCATTCTGCCTCTCACTCTTTTTGGCTCTCACCCTCTTTCTCCCTCTCTCTGACTCTTGTTTCTTTATCTCTCTCTCACACTTTCACTCTCTCTCACTCTTCCCCTCTGTCTCTTTTCTTTATGACTATCTGTGAAGTTCTTTCTTTCTTTCTTACTTTCTTTCTTTCACAACTTTCATTCTAATTTTTCCTCTTTTACCCCCCATTCTGTTGTGACAACCTATAAACTGTGTTTACAGCAGGCACTCTGTGAAGGACAACAGAGACCCCCTGCCACACACATACACAAAGAGACCCCCCGCTGCGTGCCCCTCATTCTTCCCTGCCCCACTTTCAGTTGCACGCCCACGCTCAACAGTCACATGACCTTGGCTTTACCAATAGTAGCCAGTGTTCTGATCTGGACCTACAGAGGAACATACAATAGATGTGGAGGGTGTTTGTGTGAGTGAGCAAGAGAGAGAGAGAGCGAGAGAGAAAGAGAGAGAGGGAGGGAGGGAGAGAAGGTGCAAGATGGGCTGGGGGGGTGCATACATCTTCCTACGGATTTTATGGAATTCTAATGCAATTCAACATTTTTTCAAAGAGTTTCTGAAACTTTTTAAATACAAAGCATCACAAATAAACACAATTCAACACATCAGTGCATCAGTTTTCGGTGCTAATGATACTGAATATTTTACTTTTTGTGTAGTTTATTTATTTGCCATGTATTAAGTTTTCACTGTGTTATGCTGCATTTGTGACCAAGTGGGAGAAATCTACCACAAGAATTCCGCCCTCCACTCCGACGTCTCCTGGTTGCAAATATATGACGTCGCTTCAACATAGAACATTTAAGGCTTTAAAACAGTTTTAAACTTTCAACTTTTGAGTTTCTGTTTATCATATAGCCTTTATTTTCTATTGGAAACAGTTGAAGTTGCATGAACACTTTTAGGTTGGAAGTAGGAGATTCCGAGCTGGAAATTTTCGAGCTCCCTTAACTTTGATGCTCTTCAGAGGGAGCACTGTGGGTAACGTAGTCCGGACTCACCAGGTTGACGAAGTCCTGATAGCAGATTTTTCCGTCTGCGTTCCCGTCCGCCAGCGCCAACAGAACCTCCAGCTTGTGCGGGTCGAGCTCGGAGCCATGGGCCTCCAGCAGGTCCCGGAAACGCTCCGTACTGATGAAGCCCGAACTCTCCGGATCATACTGCACCGAGATGAAAAGACACACGGGTCAGTTCTAACACTGGAGAAATAAAGTGATAATATGACAATAATTTACTGTCCTGTGCAAAAGTCTGAGCGCCCCAGATGTTATTCCATGTTTTGTTGAATTTCTAATTTTCTTTGTACAAATGTTATGCCATGTTATACACTGTACATTTTACTTCTTAATAAAATATGTTACACTCGGCAAATATAAGTAGAAATTGTGCACTAAAGTGTGCACAAAAAAAAAGTTCTCTGTAGAGGATGTGTTAACTTATTTTTACTTAGAAAATCTACAAAATGTGAAATTTCACCAGGGGTGTTTTGCATATGGCTGTAAAAATGATATGATGTTAATCTGGACAGTGTTGCAACATTATAAATGATCAGATACAATAATTTAGTACTACACACCCATATTTGAACATTTTGTGGCTGATATCAATATTAGGGGGTTAAAAATGCTATCCGATAACAATAGATGCTAATTCTTGGTGCAGTTTGGCAAAATTTTCACATATACAGATAAAACTGAGACTTGTTGATATATGGTAAGATAAGATAATCCTTTATTAGTCCCACAGTGGAGAAATTCATAGTGCCACAGCAGCAAAGGAGGTTACAGTAGGTTACAAGGTTACAGTTTGTTACTTATTACTGTATAGACAATATATATATATATATATATATATATATATATATATAATATGAAAGATAAAAAACATAAACTCTATACGATATCGGCTGACAGTCAAAGGTTCACCCTCAATTCATACAAGTTTGTTTATTCTACTATTTACTATTTTTTTACTATTTTCCATATTTTAGAATAACAGTGAACACATCAAAACTATAAAATCACACATTGATCCGAATTTTCCAATATTGATGCCTCGACTGCAACACCAATTCCTGAATGATACTTTCTGAACACCTTCTTACAAGCTAAATCACACCTATTACAAGCTAAAAGTGGGCGTGGCTTAAACCAGAAAATGAGTGCTGGGAGTTTGTGTATTTACTGACCACAATGTAGTGCAGACTAAACACAAGTGCTGATTTAGAACACATATACACATAATTTAAACAGCCAATCAGCAGCGAAGATGTTGGAACAAGCACGCTTAGTGGCTCACTAAAGCTAAGACTGGCTACATTAGTACAGAAATTTAGCACAGAGCTTTTAATACCCTGCAGTATTGACATAATTCTGACGATTCCATAGAAGTATTGGATGATGGTACTCAGCCCCAGCAGTGCCCTGAAAAATGTGTAAAACAAAATCTAGCTTTTATTTTTGATTCTTCAGTAGCCGCTGCCCCTCGTTCCTGAATTCCTCTGGGATACTGTTTTTCTTTATTGTTATCAAAAATATACATTTTCAATCAGGTGTCCAACGCTTTAACCAGTACTGTGCATACAGTCAAAATAACAACTATCTGTAAATGCACTGTGATGAATTCAGTCTTTTTAATAAAGCAGCAATTTTATCTCCTTTCAGTGTCACATATGCTGATGGTTCAGATTAAGGGAAGCGCAGGATTAACTTTAATAACAGTCTGTGTAATGCTGTGTAATAGTAGGTTAAGTACAGCGCTTAATGATTTATAAACATCAGTTCCAAAAATGTTGGGACAGTATGTGAAAAGCAAAGACCCAGAAAGGAAGTATTTGTAAATCCTTTTTTAACCTGTATTTAAACAAAAGAGTACAAAGACATTTTATCTTATCAACTTTATTGTTCTTGTAAATATACATACGATCACTCAATTGATGCCTGCAAAACATCCTAAAACAAAATAGGGACAGGAGGGACATTTAAGGACATCTTAAACAGGTGATGCAATCATGCTTGGGTATAAAAGGAGCGTCCAGGAAAGGCCTTTATGAGTGAGGATGGTTCGAGGTTTGACATTTTGTCAACAATGCATCAGCAAAAATTCCAACAGTTTAAAAATAACATTCCTCAGCGAGTGACAGCAATGATTTTAGGTATTTTCCCCTTTCCCCAACACTTAAAATGATGGTTCTTCAAGGGTTCTTTAGTAAAGAAAATGGATCTATATGGAACCATGAACACTCAAAGAACCCATTGCATGATTAAATGGTTCTTTGTATCATGAAAGCGTTCTTCAGATTGTTAGAGACTGTGCTGTAGATGATTATATATAGAATCTTTTTGAAAAGGGTTCTACAGTCCTGCTCATCATTATTGGCACCCATGAAGTTTAAGTACATATTGTGGAATATCCCCTGAAAAAATTAATCAACTGAAACAGTTTTTTGTATAGAGCACTCATATTTAAAACAAAAGAGCAAACTATAAACAACAATTTAAAACAAAAAACAATGTGAGGGAAAAACAGAAAAAACCTAAAGCTTGCTGTGACACTGGTATTGGCACCCTTTACATTAATTTAATATGGAAACAAATTTTCACTCACCTGTGGTAAATCGCAAATGATAATCACCTGTGACAAATTCAGTGCCCATGTGACATGAATTAGCCAATGAATGATGACTTCAGGGTTTTAAAAAGCCATACGTTGGGCCATGTTCATTTGTTACAATGGTGAAGACAAAGGAGCTGTCTGAGGACATCAGAAGTGCTATTATTAGCAAACACAAGACTTCCAATAGGTATAAGGCCATCTCCAAAGACCTTGGTATCCCAGTTTCAACAGTGCGCAATGTTATTAAGAAGTTTGCCAAGCATGGAACTGTCAAGAACCTCCCTGGACGTGGGGGAAAGAGGAAAATTGACAAGAGAAGTCTTCGAAGTTTGGTGCGAATGGTGGAAAAAACACCAAGGCAAACATCCAAAGAACTGAAGGCCAACCTGGAACAGTCTGGGGTCATGGTTTCAACAAGTACCATACGCCGCACGCTAAACCATGCAGAGCTTTATGGGCGAAGGCCAAGGAAGAAACCATTGCTAAAGAAAAGACATAAAAAGGAACGACTGATCTTTGCCAAAGAGTACCTTGACAAACCACAATCATTCTGGGACAATGTTTTGTGGACAGATGAAACAAAAATAGAGCTTTTTGGCAATGCAAAGCAACAGTTTGTTTACAGACGGCGCAATGAAGCTTATAAGGAAAAGAACACCCTACCAACAGTTAAGCATGGTGGAGGATCCATAATGCTGTGGGGTTGCTTTGCTGCGTCTGGTACTGGAGGCCTTGACCGTATCACAGGAATCATGAAATCAGAGAATTATCAAGAGATTTTAGAGCGAAATGTCCTACCCAGTGTAAGAAAACTTGGTTTGAGCCGAAGATCATGGGTATTCCAGCAAGACAATGACCCAAAGCACACATCCAAAAGTACACGGGAATGGTTTAAAAGGAAAAAATGGACTGTTTTAAAATGGCCAGCAATGAGTCCTGACCTCAATCCCATTGAAAATCTTTGTGGTGAGTTGAAATCTGCCGTTGGGAAAAAGAATCCTGCAAACATTCAAGAGCTTGAACAAACTGCAAAGGAAGAGTGGGAAAAAATACCAGCTGAGAAGTGCAAGAAGCTTATAGATGGCTACAAGAAACGTTTGGAGGCTGTCATCACAGCCAAAGGGTGTGCAACCAAATATTAACAAGGGGTGCCTTTATTGCTGCACATGCTGTTTATTCTGTTTCTTCTTTAAAATTGCAACATGCAAGTTGAAAAACAATGTTTTTTTTGTTGTATTACTTTGGACCTCCAATTAAAAAATCCTGAAGATATAACTTTGGTACATTTACATTTATTTCTGAAGATATTGTACAGGTTATGCAAAAAAGGAAGGGGTGCCAATAATGGTGAGCATGACTGTATATAGCACCCAAAAGGGTTCTTCTATTGTAACAAGCTTGACATCGTAACAACACCAGAAGCCTTTTTGGTGCTACAGCTCATTCTCCATCAATCTGAAGAACGTTTCGTGATGCAAAGAACCCTTTAGTCATGCAAAGGGTTCTTTGAGTGTTCATGGTTCTACACAAAAACATTTTCTTTACTAAAGAACCATTGAAGAGCCATCTTTTTAAGTGTGTACAGTGCATATCATCAAAAGTAATCTGGAAAAATGTCGGTGCATAAAGGAAAAGGCTGAAAACCACATATGAACACCCGTGACCACTGACCACTCAGACGGCACAGCAATAAAAAACGCTATGCTTCTGTGATGGAGATCACTTGACAAACCGTTGTCAATAAACACTGTTAGTCGCTGCTTTCACAAATGCAAGTTAAGACTATACTATGTACTTTGGAAGCCATATATCAACAACATCCAGAAACGCTTCTCTGGACTCTGGAGCTCATCTGAAAATACCTTTAGGACTATCACAATCATTACATAATCACCTGATCACAATTATCTGAGCTGACTGCAGTTATATTTCATAATTGTTAGCTTTCACAATCATATTGTAGTATCAGCAAAGAAGGAGACACGGGCGAATGCTCTTTTATTGAGCACACAGCAAGTGAAGACCGCCACTCAGCGCTGCCGAAACAGCCGAGATAGCAGGCAGGTCATCTCCAGCTATATACCTCTACTTGACAGTAGGCACTAACCCTGCACCAGCTACCCCACAGAGCAGCACAGAACAGCATGAATAACACACATACACATGTACACTGAGCCACAACAACTTATTTACAGTAAAAGACTCTCCTATTGTAAATACGATGCTTCCCAAGAGCCTCCTCGCATGGCCACTCTGCATGGTCACGCGCTCCATGTGCGACTCAGTAGTGGGAGGCAACATGTTTATATCCCAACAAACAAAACAAGATTTCTGTGTGTTTTCATCAGCTGAGTTGAGGCAAATTCATCAAATTTATCGAGATATGTGTTTTTACGAAAATAACAGTTCAAAAACTTCAGATGGGGCTATAACACCTTTAGAGGGCAGCATTGAGTAATATTTGTTTATTTGAGGTTAAGCTGTGTCTGTGTTAGCTAACAGTTTGGACCCTGTGGTTTGGACTCCAATACAATTGATTTGGAAT